AATTAAGGATTGAAGAAGATATTATTTCACGACATCAGAAAGAAGAAAAGGTAAGCTCAAGACGGGCTGAAAACGAAAAAAGGTTCGGTAAAAACAGGTACGAGCCATACATGGGACCTGCGGGAAGAGACTCACGGTCAAAGCAGGATAATCAGAGGTACGATCAAAGATCAAGGAATAGAGATTCAGGCTCATCATCAAGATTTGGGAGTGACCGAAGCGCACGTGAGCCACGAGACAATGATAGAGGTCTAAAGGCAAGGTTTGGTGGTTATAATTTCAACGTGAGCACTTCTGAACTCGTGGTTGTTTTAAGAAGCATGGGAGATAAGGTACGGTGGCCCAAGGAAATGAGATCAAATCCAAACAGAAGAAACCCTGATCATTGGTGCGAATTTCATAACGATCATGGGCATAAAACAGCAGATTGCAGGTTTTTGCAGGGTGAAGTTGATCATTTGTTAAAACAAGGATATCTCACTGAGCTATTTAGTGAGAAAGGTAAACAAGCATACATGAAGAACAGGCAGGGGCCTCCAAACCACCTTATCCCAAGAGAACTGTCAACGTTATAAGTGGGGGTGAAGAGATCAACGACGTATCATATAAAAAGGTTTCTAAAGTAACAATTACCCACGGGAAGCGGCCTCGACATGTCTTGGAGGGAGAAAATATTACGTTCGATGATGCAGATGCCGAGGGACTATTAACTCCACATAACGACGCACTGGTAATATCTTTACTTGTACATGACACTAACGTGAAACGAGTTTTAATTGATCCAGGTAGTTCCGTGAACATTATTTTGGTAAGAGAATTACATGAGATGCAAGCTGAAGATAAGCGCATACTTTATCTGGATTTGATAATTCTAGTGTTGTCACAAAAGGAGAGGTAACACTCACCACATTCGCTGAAGGAGTCGTCAAAGATACAAAGTTCCAGGTGGTAGATATGGAGATGGCTTACAATATGATTCTTGGGAGACCATGGATCCACGAAATGGATGTTGTTCCTTCAACCTTGCATCAAGTCATTAAATTCCCAGCGCCATGGGGAATCTGTCAAATCAGGGGAGATCAAAAGACATCCAGGAACATCAACTCCGTGGCAGATTCAAGTACGAAGGGTGAAGAAAAATAGCAATTACAGAATCCAGTTGAGGATAACATAGCGTCAACCTCAACTGAACAAGAGCAAACAGATGTAGATTCAAGGGCCGATTCTATTCAAGAACCAGAAGAAAATGAAAACATCAAAACGATGATAGAAGTGCTGGAGGTTGTGGTTTTGTTTATACACTGGCCAGAGAGAAAAGTGTATATAGGAGCCAATCTTAGCCCGGAGGTGAAACGTAAGTTGATTGAATTTTTAAAAGCTAATGCAGACTGTTTTGCTTGGTCCCATTCTGACATGACAGGGATACCACCGGAGGTGATAACTCATAAACTAAATGAAGATCCATCATATCCCCTAGTCAAGCAAAAAAAAAAAAAAGAAAGCAAGGAACTTTCAAGAATCAGGTGATTCATGAAGAAGTCCCAAAATTGCTAAAAATTGGTTCTATTCGTGAGGTAAAGTATCCTAACTGGTTAGCCAACACTGTTTTAGTTCCAAAAAAGAACGGTAAGTGGCGGGTTTGCGTAGATTACACAGATCTTAATAAAGCTTGCCCTAAAAATTCTTTTCCACTGCCATACATAGATCAATTGATTGATGCAACTGCAGGTCATTAACTATTAAGTTTTTTAGATGCATATTCAGGGTATAATCAGATTAAAATGGACCCAGGAGATGAAGAAAAAACTTCATTCATAACAGACAGGGGGACTTACTGTTATAAAGTAATGCCCTTTGGTCTAAAGAATGCAGGAGCAACGTATCAGAGGTTAGTTACCAAAATATTTCAAGAGCATTTGGGAAAAACTATGGAGGTATATATAGATGATATGCTCGTTAAAACTCAGCATTTAGGAGATCATATATCGCATCTATCTGAAACATTTAAAATTTGCGGAAATTTAATATGAAGTTAAATCTCGAAAAATGTGCATTTGGTGTTGCATCAGGTAAGTTCTTAGGTTTTCTTGTTTCTAACCGTGGTATTGAGGTGAATCCTGCACAGATTAAGGCCATTGAAGAAATCCCTGATATACTCTCGAGCAAGAAAGAGGTTCAAAGATTAATAGGGAGGATTGCAGCTTTGGGAAGATTCATTTCTAAATCATCAGAGAAGTGTTTTAAATTCTTCTCAGCTCTTAAGAAGCGGGATCATTTTGAATGGAACGAAGAGTGTCAACAAGCACTCATGAATTTGAAAGTGTACTTATCAAATCAATCGTTACTAGCAAAACCAAAATGCTGGGGAAAGATTGCTCATTTACCTTGCTGTTTCAGAAGTAGCGGCAAGTGCGGTTTTGGTTCGAGAAGAACAAGGTAAACAATCCCCTATCTATTATGTTAGTAATCTTTGTTAGATGCGAAAACGCGGTATCCTCAATTGGAAAAGCTTGCACTCGCATTAATCATGGCATCTAGGAAATTAAGGCCTTACTTTCAATGTCATCCTATTGCTGTAGTAAACGCCTATCCTTTGCGTAATATATTGCATAATCATGAATTATCAGGTAGGTTGGCTAAGTGGGCAATAGAGTTAAGTGAATACGAAATCACGTACCAACGTAGAACTGCTATAAAATCACAAGTGTTAGCTGATTTTGTGGTTGATTTTAGCCACGGCATGCAATTAGAAGCACAAAAAGAATTACAGGTGCTCAATGGAGCTAATCCAGGAACTTGGACTTTATTCGCTGATGGTTCATCTAATGTAAAAAGAGCAGGTTTAGGGATTGTTTTGGTACCACCTATGGGTGAAACCATTCGAGAAGCTATCAAATGCCATTCAATAACTAACAATGAGGTAGAGTATGAGGTTGTGATTGCAGGTTTAGAATTGGCACGAGAACTTGGCATAAATCAGATTATAATCAAGAGCGATTCAAAACTCGTGGTTAATCAAATGCTGGGGACTTATACAGCCAGAGAAGCAAGGATGCAGCAATATTTAGAAAAGGTGCGGTAGTTAATAAAGCAATTTCAAACCTGGAAAGTTACACAAATACCAAGGGATGAAAATCTTGAAGCAGACGCTTTAGCTAATCTCGCATCTACGACTGACGTGGCAAGCGATGCAAACACCTCAGTTATTTATTTATTTCATTCAGTTCTCGACCCTGACAAGAATGAGGTAAATTTTAATAATTTAACTTGGGATTGGAGGAACGAGATTGTAGCTTTTTTGCAGTATGGAACCGTCCCTGATGACAAGAAAAAAGCCCATGCACTTCGAAAAAAGGCTGCTCGCTACTGTTTAAATCAAGGCAACCTATATCGTACAATGTTCGGTGGCCCCCTAACTAGATGTCTCGGACCTTCTCAAACAGAGTACGTAATGAGGGAATACACGAGGCACATTGTGGAAATCACGCCGGAGGAAGATCATTGGTAAGAACCTTAATTAGGGCAGGTTACTACTGGCCAAAAATGGAAGAAGAAGCGGAAAGTTTCGTGGCCAAATATTATAAATGTCAAAGGTACGGTAACAACATGCATAGACCCGCGAAATTATTACATCCGGTCATCGCACCATGGCCATTCATGAAATGGGGAATGGATATCGTGGGTCCATTATCACAAGCAAAAGGACAGGTAAAATTTCTGCTCGTACTTACTGATTATTTTACTAAATGGGTAGATGCAGGAGCCTTCAAACAGGTACGAGAAAAGGAAGTCAAAGATTTTATTTGGCGAAACATCATATGCCGATTTGGCGTACCAAAGGAGATCGTATGTGATAATGGTCCTCAGTTTATAGGAGCTCAAATCACAGAATTTTTTCAAAGTTGGCAAATTAAAATGATTACGTCCATACCTTATCATCCGGTAGGTAATGGGCAAGCAGAATCAACAAACAAGGTTATTATCAATAATTTAAAGGAGCATTTGGAAGAATCAAAAGGAAATTGGCCAGAGGTGCTACCTGGTGTTTTATGGGCATATCGCACCACAACAAAAACAAGTACGGGAAAAACACCAATTTTGTTGGTTTATGGAGCAGAAGCTTTAATTCCAGTCGAGATAGGAGAACCAAGCACACGGTTCACACAAGCGATACAAGAATCTAATGATGAGGAGATGTGGGTCAATCTAGATTTACTTGAAGGAAGGAGAGAAGCTGCATTAATAAGAATGGCAGCACAAAAATAAGTCATAGAACGATATTACAATAGGAAAGCACGCCTCAGATTCTTTAAAGTTGGGGACTTCGTACTTAAAAAGGTTTTCCATTCTACAAAGGCAGCCAACGCGGGTAAACTAAGTCCAACTTGGCAAGGACCCTATAGAGTTCGTGATATTGCAGGCAAGGGAGCATATGAATTGGAGACAATGGATGGCAAAGTACTACCTTCACATTGGAATGCTGTTCATTTGAAGAGATATTACTTCTAAGGAATACCCAAGGTCAGGTATCACCATTTTTCATTTAATTTTTTGAATTGTTAAAATTTTACTAACGATTTTAGATGATAGGCAAAAAGCTAGCCCGTACTAAATGATGAGTCACGGCCTGTAAGGCACCCGGAATAAACTAAAATTCCTGGCCTAGGGTTACAATTATTCTGATAGAAATATAAACAGGTTAGGCAGTCTTCATCTAAAATCGCACCTCCGAGTCTTGTATGTTTTTCCTTTTTAGGAAAAGGACCAAAAGAGAGAAACAATCAAGTGCTTGAGGCTTCATACTTCAACGCTCAAACACTTGGGGGACTGCATAATATACACGAGCATGTATAAATAAGGCAAAGAAGATTGAAGAGAAATCAAGCCTAGAAAAAGTCAAGTTAGCTTTCCAGATTTTGTATTGAACGCATGGCGTAGCTAGGACCCTTCAAATTCTGTTTGAGCCTATGTTCAAGCCCAAACCCCACCCCCTTATTTTACTAAGGCTGGAAAGAATGCCCACCAAGTTCAGATAAGGGAATGCTTTCCCCAACCATTAAAGGAAAGGCTCGACGAAGGGAGGGAGGTGCGGCGGGGGAAGGAAAACGCTTTCGGAGATCGAGAATTTTTTTTTCATCGAAAACGAAGAAGGCCGAGGATGGCCTACGGTGCGTCTTATCTGAAGGGAACACGCTTTTTTGACCGCCGTGGTATGATTGCCGGGCCCTCTCCTCGTTCCGCCCTTCCTATTGGGATAGCTGCCTTCGGGCTTTGCCTGCCCTTTATAATAAAAAATTCCGGCTCGGCCCGGGAAAGCGCTGGCAACAACAGAAAGGAAGGGGTCCATGTAGCTGCTGTGTCCGCCCCCTTCTTAGTCAATGGGGCACAGCAGGTTCGGCATCTACTACAAAAGAGAGAATCCACTTCAGATAACCACGTCTCTGCTAGGCAGCGTGTGGAATGGCCGAGAGCGGACCTTTTTGGATATATAATCCAAGTCGAGAGTAGAGTTACAGGAAAAGCCGTCTGATGGAAAACTACTTTCACGTTCGGTTCAGAGAGCACTTTTTTCGTTGAGAATTCCTCGTTCCCTTTCGTGTGAATTCCCCAGCGGCGAATTCAAAACTTGTGGGGCCCTATCTATTCCATCTCTCGAGCCCCGAAGAAAACCCCCTACCCTTCGGACTCCATATATCTTTTGACTCTATATATGTGGGCACCTGATATCTATGAGGGTTCACCCACCCCGGTTACAGCATTCCTTTCTATTGCGCCTAAAATCTCTATTTCTGCTAATATTTCACGTGTTTCTATTTATGGTTCTTATGGAGCTACATTGCAACAAATCTTCTTTTTCTGCAGCATTGCTTCTATGATCTTAGGAGCACTGGCCGCCATGGCCCAAACGAAAGTAAAAAGACTTCTAGCTCATAGTTCAATTGGACATGTAGGTTATATTCGTACTGGTTTCTCATGTGGAACCATAGAAGGAATTCAATCACTACTAATTGGTATCTTTATTTATGCATCAATGACGATAGATGCATTCGCCATAGTTTTAGCATTACGGCAAACCCGTGTCAAATATATAGCTGATTTGGGCGCTCTAGCCAAAACGAATCCTATTTTGGCTATTACCTTCTCCATTACTATGTTCTCATACGCAGGAATACCCCCGTTAGCCGGCTTTTGTAGCAAATTCTATTTGTTCTTCGCCGCTTTGGGTTGTGGGGCTTACTTCCTAGCCCCAGTGGGAGTAGTGACTAGCGTTATAGGTCGTTGGGCGGCCGGAAGGTTGCCACGAGTAAGTAAGTTTGGGGGACCGAAGGCAGTTCTCCGTGCACCGGACACGTAGCTTACCGAATCAGTTGCGACACGGATGGGAATGCATGCTACGAAAGATAGGGTCGAGTCTGATACATCAACCGTCTACTCAATATCCTTGTACGAGTCCACAATGACTACACGAGATGAACCTTGGTTTGGTGAATTGAAGTTGGCCTTAGGTGTAATAGGACTCCCAGTTACTGCGCGCGATCGTATACTGAGGTGCTCCCCGCCGGTTGTTGGAACGACGCGAGCCGGGCCGGGTCTCGATTCAGAAAGATGAAGGGCCCAAAAGTCTAAATAGGGGGTTACAAATTCCCCATCTCATTGGGGGCGGAAAACGAATCGACATCTCGATGTGATACAGCCCTTTCGATTTTAGTTGGGAAAGAACGGCGAAGTCCATCCGAACCGTCCAATGAAGAATAAGAGGAGAGCAAAGCGCCAATGGCGCGCGAAGCGCATGCGGAACGGGCACGGAGAAAAAGAAGTGTGGAGGAGAAGCAGCCGAGCTCATTCCCTTCGCTTCCTGGGCCCAAAGCAGTGCAGTCTTTCCTGGCCAAATCAAGGATTTGGGGCTTCTTGCTACGCTACAACACTATAAAAATCCATTTTGATTAGTAATATATATGAATAGAAAGATAGATCCATCCATCTATCCTATCCGATTTAGATTTTGATATCTAAAAAAGAATCGATTTCATTCAACGTTTGATTCAAAGAACTGCGCTTAGCCCCCCCGCTCATGAAACGGCTCTGCTGCAATGGATGGCAGAGGGTCCGTAGTACCCGAAGCACTGGAGTGATCCAGTAGCCGGGAAGGGGCCTAGAAGTGCCTACTACTACACCACACTACACTTGGCTCTACACATTTACAGAGCTAACCCCTGTCCAGTGCCTGGCAGAGCTAAGGGGGCTTCAATCCTTACTCTTTATCCCCATCTTCGCCCAGGCTAACGGGGCCTTACTTATTCAGGGGGGAGCCTCGAAAAGCACTGTTGAGAGGAAGATCCTTGGCCCCTCTTCATTCTCTACAGGGTTCCAAACCTTTCTTCAACATAGGTGACAACGAGCCAGGCAGAGATGGAAGAGATCAAACACGGGAATAAGAAGCAAGCTCGCCTTCCTTTTTGATCATNCGAGAGTTGATTTTGGAGGAGGCCCATAGCTCCCGGTACTCTATTCATCCGGGCGCCGCGAAGATGTATCAGGATTTGCGGCAGCATTATTGGTGGCGTAAAATGAAGAAGGATATCGTAGCATTTGTGGCTCGTTGTTTGAATTGTCAGCACGTTAAGTATGAGCATCAGAGGCCTGGTGGTTTATTTTAGAGGATTGAGCTTCCTGAGTGGAACTGGGAGCGGATTACTATGGACTTTGTTACTGGACTTTCGCTGACTCGGAAGAAGTTCGATGCAATTTGGGTCATTGTTGATAGGCTGACCAAGTCAGCACATTTCATTCCTGTGGCAGTCTCCTATTCTTCTGAGAGGTTGGCTGAGATCTATATTCGGGAGATTGTTCGCCTTCATGGTGTGCTGATCGCTGCCGACTCAACACCACACTAAGGTAGGAAGAGCGGGTCGCAACAGCTTTTACCCGATAGTGGATCGGGATCGATTTTCCACAGGGAGCTAGAGAGGGAGTTGTATTATCTGCTTAGTCTAGAATTGTGGTTGTGCTTCTAATATCACTTCTAACATTTTCGGTTTTTGATTTTTATATCTTCTACTTTAAGACTAATATTTAAAGCTAAATTATGCTATGGAGATATTACTAAGTTGTAATTAATATAGAGAAAGGCACTAGGGTCGTAGCATTACCTAGGTGGCTAATCAACGGGTAGATGCTACTAAGGGTAAATTGACATATTTGGGGCTTATGCTATAACCTTTCCTCAATTGTACCCACTCTCACACCTCTCAGTAGAGAGAGTGATTTTGCCCAATTGACTCTCTCGAGACCAATTGGGTAGGACAAGTTGACCAAGCAACTAAGGTTCAAGTAGGGTAATTACTCTCTCGAGGTTCCGTTAATTGGGACTACCATTTCTCATTGGTCCATCCCAATTCCTTGTTGGGTCAATTTTGGGGTTTATAAACTCTTTCTCTCAAGAAGAGTCAAACCCACTAAGCTAGAATCAGTGTTTGCAACCACCAATCCTTAATGAAAACCTAAAATTAACCCAAATAGCAAACACCCAATATCAATCTAGCCTTAGATTGCAGCACACATTAATTACCCACACTAGGGTTGAGCCACAACCCTAGCTAGTGAGTTTAGCTACTCACGCTAGATGCAAAAATTAAAGAAATAGATGAAGAAGCAAACATAATAATTGATTACTAAGGAAGAAATACAAAATTAGAAGTTAAAAATGCCAAAAGAGGCTAAACCCAATGTTCTCACGAGCTCAGCAGCCTTCCGTATATAAAACTTGACCTAAAAATGGAAAAAGGATCTATTTATAGTGGCTGAAAAACTTGGACAAAAATACCCCTGCGGGGTCAGCGCGGACCGCGCAAAAAGGTAGCACGGTCGCGTCAGCTCTTTGGACTCCTAAATCTCGTCTTTGAAGTTGGGGACCGCGGACCGCGCAGAAATGTAGCGCGACCGCGTGGCTTGACTTGGCCAAATCACCAGCTCTCTGATTCTTATCCACGCGGACCGCACTGATATGTAGCGCGGCCGCGTGGGCTTTTAGCTTGCACTTGTGGGTCTCTGAACCTTACTGGCGCGGACCGCGCAGCAATGGAGCGCGGCCGCGTGGCTTGCAATAACAATTACCCATTCTCTGAATCTCATAGCGCGGTCGCGTGGCATATCAGTGCGATCCGCGCTAGGTCTTCCTATTCCTCAACTTCACTTGGCCTTTGACACTTGAGCAGGTTTAACTCCATTCTGAGCCGATCTTTGACATTTGTCAACTTGTCGCCCAAACCTGCAATCAAGCATAACTTGTAAGCTTTTTAGGACTATTTTGTAGCAATTTTTACAAAAGCAATAACAAGTAGGGGTATAAATCATGGTAAAATTATAGCTTATCAACTCCCCCAAACTTAAACCTTTGCTTGTCCTCAAGCAAACAAAATAAGACCCACCCTTAAAGGGGAATCCAAGAATTTCCAGCCATCCTAAAGTAACCTCAACAAGCATCAATTGGGACTAATAATTCCCTCAATACGAATGCATCATTCACACATTTTAAGCTTTGAAAACTATGGGTCAAGTGTGACACAAGAGCATCAAGGGTTGACATATTTCATCAAAGAGCTTTTCTCAAATACCTTGGTCATTGTGGAACCCAAACTCACACATCCTCAACTCTCCCTAAGCGAACCTCACCTTATTAGAGTATTGACACAAAAACCGAGGTTGATGGACTTTCACTCATCTCTCTCTCAGAAGAATGTCGCAAGTCCGGTTCTAGGTACCATATGCTTGCCCATTATGTAAGTATCCACTAATATATTCCTTCAACTCAAGATCATATAGGGCTTTTGTGGAGTCATTGTGAAGGCTTTTGGGTAAGAATAGGACATGTTTTAGTTCAAACGGGTTCAATCTTCCCTTAAGCACTTCCTTTGATTCATTTTGGCACACTTTCTTGACTCATTTGAGCATTTCACTTCTTTTCAAGGGGTTAGAGGGACGCATTGTCACTCTTTCTTATGCAATTCAAAACATTTCTCCTTTTCTACTTTTTCCACACCTTTTTCTTTTCACTTTTGTTTCCTTTGATTCCCTTTTTATTCTTGTTCACTTTGAACTTTCTTTTTGTATTTTTTTTTCTTGCTTTTTCATTGCCTTCCCTTTTTCTTTTGCTCTTGTACCTTTCTACCACTTTATTTCCTTTCTTGTCTCCCCCCCAAACTTAGACAGTTGCCATTACTCAAGGGAAGATTTGGGTGCCAAGAGAGGGTAATCATTTAGAACGGGTATAGGCTTGTAGCATTGGTTCTTGAAAGAAAAGGTTTAAGGCTCAAAAGGGTTAGCTAGGGATCATCTCTTTGGTAGGCTGTGGATTTGTTCAGCTTAACATTTGGATCAAGGAGAGCCTATAATCACTTATCAAGTCAAATTTCACCTAGGATTTCGCCTCAATAAACATTCAGGGCAAGTTCTAGACCATTGGCTCGGGACTTGGACTCACAATTCAATTTCTCACCACACATGCTAGGGGATTGCTAAAGACATCGAGTCGAGGGCCCACAACGACCTTAGTTACGATTCAAGCACACAATGGTCCGAAAAGACCACATGATGATTGTTTGGTCAACACAAGAGTCTCAAGGCCACGACTTTCACCATCCTAAACACAACATTATGTCTTTGACCATGGGATCGAAGGCAAATGTGTTTGGCCCAAGTGAAGCTTTTCC